GGAACAGAATATTCGATATCCTTTTGTGGTTAAGATCGTGTTTAGAGGTGACCTCCGTCTTGTTCTCATAAACGTCATGTAATATAATATGCTATGTAATTTAGTAAATGGTAAAACTAATTACGGTGACGCTTGTTTGACGTTCAAAAGCATCTTGCCGTACGCCGTACGGGCCGATTCTTTAAATACCTATTAGTTATTCAGGAGAAAACTAGGCTCGGTAGTAATTTATTCAGTAAATTAGACGGGTGTCCGTATAAGTGCGACCTACCTTGGTCGCCGACTCACGAGCGCACCACAGTGCAAGCCCGTCGATAAACTATCTACGCACACTGACATACTTTAGATCTGATGCCACGTAAATGCAGTATAAATAATAATAATCTTCGATTTATGTGTAGCTTACAACTACACCGTTTGTATTTAGATCCTTTGTACTAATTATTACATGTGTAACACAAGTCCTGATGTCCCATTACGTTCAGGAATAATTTGAATGTTACACCAATTAAAAGGCTAAATTTTAAAACAAATTTGAAATGACGTGAAAGGAATTATGAAAATTAAAATAAAAATAAGATAAAAAAAACAAAAAACATATTGTTCTACTACTAATAATCTTATAACTACGTCGACATATTTTGTGCGTCTAATGCCTTCTTGTGATGACCAGACTAATGATTAAAATGGTACATAAAACAATAAAAGAAAGTCTCATTCGAGACTGGTTGGAGAGACTGATTGGCATACAGATTTCATTTAAATATTATAAGTTTTCAACGTTGAATATTAGTTTGCCTAATTTTTTTCTATTCTGTTGCGTTAATGATACCTAGCGGATGTAGAGGCCGCTTAAAAAAGATGTCACGTAATATTGAGTTTACTTATTTCATAAGATAATAGTAATTTATATAAGTAAAATGTATTATATAAGAATTAACCACGCTCTTAGTGAAATATAAAAGGTTCTACGCTTTCTCTTTGACCAACAATATATTTTGAAGAAAACAACAAAGTATTCATCGATCAGGAACAAATATCTTCTTCTTCGCCACCGAGTTTCTATCAAATTATAAACGCGACCCATAGCTTGGAACTCTAGATCCACGTAAATCTAGAGGTCCAAAAGGTAGGACTAAAAAGGTAACTACATTAACTACGTTATTTTTCTAGTATGTGTCTAAATCATGTTGTATACTCTAAAAGTTTATTTGAATTTTGAATATTCGGAGGATTAAAGATTGGCCTGCAGACTATTTAAACGTAATATCCATTACAATCAAAACGTAAATGAACTTCTCTTTCTGGAAATAGCGATATGCTGGTATTGACGTGTCTGCTTATGCTGCTCATGCATAACACACAAATATGTCCGTGTGTGCGTTGATATATCAGTAGTTTCATTTTCTGAGAAGCGGCGCGGGCGCAGAGACGCGCGGGCGAAGGGGCAGAGATCGGCGTCAAGCCCATAATAATATAATCTGTGGGGGGGGGGGGGGGGGGGGCTGGGGGGGGGGGGGGAGGGGAGCCCGGGCGCCGGGCTTCGCTAGACATCTTGTCGCTATGTTCTTGCAACATCGTCGTTATAATATTCATTACAATATTATTATTTATACTTTCATATTATACTACAAATTTTAGACCAGTAATATTTTTTCAAATTCGTTTTTAAACGATAAAGCTTTAAAATAATCTTACATACATTACGCACAAAACTTATTTGTCAATGATATCATATTTTATAGTTACTTATGACATACCAATTGTAACAATAAATATCAGTATTAATAAATATATTGATCTATAAATATATTATGTTAGGAAACATCAAATACCTTGCTAATTATTGTTCTTATGCTCTTATACATTGAAATATTTTTTGTTTAGTATTATTTTATATGCTTTATATCTACATTCAAATCTATTGAACATGTGTATAGTCTTTATTTTATGTTGAGCTTATATTGTATATCTGATGTAGGTATAATGTAACTTTACGATAATGGCAATAACAACTGTCCATTATTGGTTAAATCCTGCATATTTCTAATATGACTCTGTAGCTTGACTCACGCTTTGTTCAAAAAGTGGGTCATCTACTTCACGTTGGTTTTACAAGTATTGATAAAATTACATGGTATTGATACGGAATTTGTAACAGTTTATAAACAGGAATTACCATGATCTTTGTTTCGTTGCATTTACCTAATACTTTTACATAGCCCAAAGAGAAGATTAAGTAGGCACCTACATGTGTTACAAAAGATTGTCATTGTTCAAACCTATCAGATAATAAAGTATCTCCGCCTTATCAAGGCTTAAAGGAACTAAGGATGATCCCTTTTGCGCCATAGTTATTTATGACACGGCGGTACACCGCTCTCGGGTGGTCCCACTCTGGGGTGGCCAGATCAAGAAGTTATCAAAAAGCCGAGCGCCAAAACCGCGGACTCGACAATGGTTATTCGATACAGGATATATGTATGTATGTATGTGGTCATCGTTTTTATTATACATAAAAAAAGATCACTTGCAGTCGCAAACACATTCATTTTTGTTGAGATTATTGAAATTCTTTATGTTTCCACATAGCAAATAACGTATATTTTAATAAGAGCGATTTGATGAATTATTATTAATCGCGTGTGCTGGTTACAGTGTAATATAGACAGGATCCCACTATACGTTAATAATGGGTAAGCTTAGTATAAGCTTATTTACTTTGTGTAAGTGAAGTAAGCAATATTATAATGTGGTCCTCATACTTAAGTTTATTCCGTTCTAAGATGGTATATTCGGTAAGCACGATTACTTAATGGATAAGTTACTTATGAATTTTATGTTATTATTCAACTTCTTCAAACCAAAGGAATAAATGTGAAAAGAATGAGAAGAAACTAATTGTTATATTTTCTGATGTTTTATTACACAAGTTATGTTTACTTGTTCAAGTGACAACGACAACTCTCACTTCAGCGGTTGCCGTTTGTGTCATGTCTATTAGTTGATGTGAAATAACCCTGATATACTTGTACTTTGATAAGCCGACTAAAATGTAATGTATGCTAAATATTTAAATTTATTTCTCATTATGATTAAATGCTCTTTTAAATAAAAAAAAAGGATTTTGGGACTTTGGGGAAAATGGGACAGAAATCGGTGAACATACCTAAAAACAAATAAATATCTGCTTCTTTTTTGAAATCGATTAAAAACGGGTTATCACGTATAGAAATATGAATATAAATTTAAATAAATACAAAAATAGCTGTAATAAATATAAATATCTAATATATAAAATTCTCGTGTCACAGTTTTCGTTGCCATACTCCTCCGAAACGGCTTGACCGATTTTGATGAAATTTTTTGTGCTTATCCGGTATCTATGAGAATCGGCCAACATCTATTTTTCATCCCCCTAAATGTTAGGGGTAGTCCACCCCTAAATTTATTTTTTATTTTTTAGACAAATTTTTTAAATTCTATTTTTTTATGACACAGCATACAAAAATACATACAACACTAAATTTTCACCCCTCTACGCAGACGTAGGTGCGGGCAGCAGCTAGTAATATATAAAATTCTACTATCACGCTGTTTTTAATTGAACTCCTCCGAAACGTCTCGACCGATTTTCGTGGAATTTTGTGTGCATATCGGCCAGGGTGGAAAATCGGACTACATCTATTTTTCACCCCCCTAAACATTAAGGGTGGTCCACCGCAATTTTTTTTTTATATAAAATATTTGTTTTCATTTTTTTATGATACAGCATACAAAAATATATAAAATCCTAAGTTTCCACCCCTCCACGCAGACTTAGTTTCAGGCAGCAGCTAGTATAATATAATATTAGAGATAACATTGGTGACGGTAAGCTCCATCTACTTTCAAAGTACATAATGAATGGATCTCGACCGCAAAACGTCCTTACAGAAGTCGCCTTGGCCATTCGGGGACCTACTTCAGGTAATAGGGTATTTCATGTCTTAGTGGTTATCGTAAATCTTAGTGGTAATCGTCTTTATCGAGCATGAATGTAGAGCCAGACTCATCACAGACTATCAAACGCTATGTTGGCTGGGCTCCTCTCTCATTGTAAAAACAAATTCGCTGATAATACTTAAAACCACTGGTGTACCCATTGCCATTACTTAGGAAGAAATTTCAAAGTTATTGTACATATGAAGGGGGAAAAACGACCGATGTGATTAGGTATACTAAAATCCGAACGTTTTACGAATTGCATTCAAAAAAGAAAATACCTAAAATTATAACTGAAAAATTGTACATGTGAAATTACAAAAAATATAATTCCCAAGCCATTTTAGCTCATCTTATTTTTCACAAAGTTTTCTAGTTTTTTCATATATACCACGCATTGAGTATATTAATATTATGTGTGACTGTTTGCAGATTATCAATGTTCAAGAACACGCTTACTTATTTCAATAACACAACAAAAACAGTTCGCTATCAGTATTGAGGCCGATGTCAGAGGGCAGTTCATTATATTACCCCGCGGTCTTTTTGCATAGAGAGCCATTTTAACGGTGCCGACGGCTATGATCTTTCCGAACGACAAACTGTATCAATTAAGAGAAATCGACTAACGTGTATTTATGTTAATCAGAATTTTCTACATATCTACGTCGTTTTCTCGCTAACTGCTAATGTTTCTACTGCGATATTCATTTTAAGACGAAACGGAACATCAGTTAATTACAAGATTACAATATTCGGGAACATCATGTGGTAATATGCACATATATCTTCACGATTACCAATTTGAATTATCGAGGACAACAACGCAACAAATCTCATAAGCTTCGACAAAGTTCCTGCGTCAGCGCTGCATTAATTATTAATTGACTTCTTTCAATTGATCTTGTAACAATAGATAGGCAGTGACCGGGCGTAATTTTTGCTTACAAGAGTATATTTGGCTGTGGGAGCGGTCAGTGACGTGAGCGACGTTAGCTCGCAGCATATTATAATTAGTCGAAGCCAGCGTGAGCAATGGCGTCGGAAATAACGTGCGGCGTTGGCGCCAAGCGGAGCGGCCATTGCGGCATCGCGCTATCGACGCCGCGCCCGGCCCGCGCCCGCGCCACTTCGTCTGTCTTGTGACTTGAGCCATCGCTATTTGTGTCCAATGGAATAACACGCGGGTGATTTATACAAAATTCACTGTATAAACAAATTACACATAACTTATTTACAAAGTATTCCCCGGGTTAAGTTATTTTTTAGCCAGTTAATAACCTAATGTTGTAGTAGGTCACTTTGAAGTTAAACAAAGCGTTGTAAGCTTTATTGTTTGTTGGTAACACAAATCTTTAACCGATATCAAGTAACGGACAGCGACCTGACAACTGAAACCTTATGCACAATTGTTTCACTGAGCATTAGCTATACTTTGCATTGTAAATGTGCTAGTTACTCACAAAGACACCTATATGGTTTCGCTTTAGTTATTCCATATGTTGAGAAGCGAAAAAAATTTACGTTTGCTGTGAATAAATTTTTGTATATAAGAAAATGTATTAAAGCTATTTTTATATGTCACATTTTTTAAGGAACAAAATTAAACAAGCTTTTATATTAAATTTATGAAAATTATTTTTAATTATTTTTAAAACATAAAATACGAATATGGACCATGGTTTTTAGCGAAAATGTACGTAGATACCCTAGAGAAGTTTCCACGGTCAAAGAAAAAGAGTATTTAGTTAGACGCGCTCTTCAAATAAGCTTGTTTCCTCAGCGTAAACAGAAAATAATTAACCGCGGCGTCTTTGTTAGCCTCTTCCAGCAATTCCTTAAAATATTTCTTGTGTACATTAAAACCGGAAAGAACTTTCTTTTGATGTGAACATAATGGATTATTGTATATATTTTGTATGGAACGAGGATAGTTAATGCCGACATGTTGAGTACACTAGAAATAACATAAAATAAAATGAAATGTTTAAAAAGTAACATCTTAAATGTAGCAATCTGTTAATATTTGTATATTTATAAGACAAACGGCCTTGAGAAACAAAACTTGTGCACACAACACTTCACATTATTTAAGGAACAAAATAAATTATATTAGAAATTTAATGTTTATGTAGTAGTCAACGCTACAAGGTGTAGGTAGAGTCAGGGAAGCTAAATTACGTGTATCAGACCGCTAGGCAGAGAATTGAAGAAAAATTAAGTTTACAGTTGTGTAGAAGTATTATTCAATAAAAAAAATCGAAGGCTTTCCAAATACAAAAATTTCGTAACACCGGAATAAAGGTTCTTTTTGGAGTCAATACTAAAATAGCGTCAGTAATAAAATATCTATATAGCACGTGAGATGTGAAGAGACGATTGTCTGATTGTGTCACAAGGTATTGGCAAGCTGGTAAAGAATAGATCACTAATGTCACCGAAAGTCACAAGTGTAATGATGATGAAATCTTTAAAATTCACCATCAAGACTACATAAAAAAGAAAGATTTACTCCAATTCCCTATAATAATAATAATATGATCTTGGTTACAGACGCTTCTGTGTTGAATGCCTCACCGGTATATTTCATGTCTATTATTATTTAAATATGATACACCGGTCATTTGTTGAATTGCTTAAAAAAGGAATCGGACTAATTCTCTGTGTTATGTGTTTAACCACCATAGATTAAACACATGGCAGAATGGCTGGCCCAGTTGTAAGTAAAAATAGAGCGGTACCTAGCAATTTAATGTGCCGCAACGAAAAGTTGCCATGTCTTCTGTGCCAAAAACGTCCATGACATCATGGCTGCTACAACATCTTCGGCTTTATGAACCATCACGCTCGTCCGGTAGAGAGTCATAAAGTGAGTCGCGACTGCACATGCAATCCATTGCGACACTTTAGGGTTGTTACAGAAAGGTGATGTCGAAATTTTTTTCTGATATGTTTTTATCGCTTTAATGTGTTATAATAACTAATACGCCTATCTAGAACTAAAAAACCTCCTTCGTATAAGATATTTAAACAAAGAATAAATATAGTTTTTTTTTATTAAAGTAAAAGTAAACCTGTAATAAGTCGAAGTGACGTATTTCTTCGTGATTTTTCATCAGCTTTTTAATGTGAAAATTGGCAAAGACATCAAAAACAAAAGATCCCTAAAAACTTGTAGCAAATTCAACACAACAAAAATAAAGTTTACGGAATAACGTTAAATATAGTCGCTGTCTCTTCTGTAAAATGTTAATGAGAATAATTACATCATAAAATTAAATAAAATTTTTGTATATAAACGTCAATTGTTTCGACTATGTTAAATAAAACATTTCTAAACTATCATTAAAGATATTGGTCAAACGTAAATGTATATGCCATATATTCCATTGCCTGAAATTAAAGCGAAGTAAGTGTAAAGTTTCACCCTAAGTGAAGACAACACGTGTCTACAGACAGCACGGCGTCGTCGTCGCCTATGTTGAGTTTCCCAGACTGCTCGACGCCCCAGCGTGCACTGTACATAAAGTTGCGTTGATACACGTAGGCATGCAGACAGAAACATGCGCAACATTTTATTATTTTCCATTGCACTGTGCCAACTTCAAGTTCAGTGTTTTATCGCCAACGATCGTTTAATAGTAAAAAAATATAAAATCGTGAGCTTTTTACGGCCGCTTGCACAGTTTCTAGAACAATTGAGTAATTTAAATTACAAGGGACAAACAAAGACCCGTACTCGCCGTTCTGACGGGCTCCGTGCCCGTAGTCCGCTCCGTGCCGCGAGTCTGGGTTAAGGTCAGATAAAAGTACACGAAAAATTCACTGGTCAACGATCACCATGTCATGTTTGTGATAATTAATTACTAAGAGGGAAATTAACGATTAAAACAACTTTCCCTTTACCTACGGATATTGCTTCAGGTATTGCATACTTCGCATACTAATACACTGATATAAGTATCTTCCCTGTAATCCATTTTAAGTATTGAAATCTTATTTATATTTAATTGGGCTGAAATTTATGACACTGAACAGCAGAATTGTGTTAAGCGTGTATGAAGTATTATTAAAATTGTTTGATAACTGTAACTTGTTTTAACATCCATATTTAAAAAGTATCAGAGAATAAAAACGTTGTTAAAAATGCAGAACCCGCCAATTTAAAAAAAAAACACATATACTATTTTAGATAATTTCTGACAAAGACAACCATACAATAATAAGTTGTATATTACGTAGAATAATAGAGTAATAGAAACTCTATTTAAAAAAAGTAGTACACATTTACATAAATGTACTCTTAACAATTGTGCAAACTTTGTACTTTAAATTTGGTATATTATGGTAAATAGACAGTGGCGGATTTATCAGCAGGCTAAGTAGGCTAGAGCCTAGAGCGGCAGATTTTAGGGGGCGGCAAATTTGGCCCAAATATTTTTGTCTTACAGTAATAAAGAAAAACATCATTATGTACGTAGGGAAAACGAGTCTTGAAAATTTAACAACTTTAATAAGTTAAGACTTTCATAAGTTGATTCATTTTATTGTCAGTTGAGATACTGTTCGTATGATTTTTATACTGTAAGAGCAATAAAAAAATTTAACAACGTTTAGTAAATGTTCATTATTTTGAGTTTGCTGTGTTAATATATTGGTAAAAGTGTTTAAGGCATACCTTACCCCGTTCTCTAATAAGATCCCAAAAACTATTTTTCGTTTAATCTTCACTATATCGTTGGTTATAAAACAACATCAAAAATATATAAAAATTTAATCTAGAAACTGGCACAACGAAATCCTAGATCAAAATCATGCTAATAACGAGAAAAAGCTGTATATATAAGTATTGAAGACGATAGAGCACAAATCAATAAGTTGTAATTTTGTTGTCAGAATGAAGGTAATTAATATGATTGCAAACTAACTATTCGCGTATCGAATTGCAGGCCAGTAGGGGCGGTAAAAATTGAATAGCCTATTGGCGGCAAATTTGCAAATCCGCCTCTGAAACTGGGATCAAAGTCTAATCAAGGTAAAATTAGGTCTTAATTTCCTACAGTGATAGGTTACATAAAAAATAATAAAATTATTGTAATTTTACTGGTAACTAGATAATAATTTACTAGTAGGTATATACGATAGTACTTTCTAACGGAAATTTTGTAGCTTGCTGAATATTAACGAATTATAAGTGTTTACCGATCAAATGTACGACATTATTATCTAGGATTATTATGTTATACATATGATCGAGCATCTATTGATCAATGTAAAAAAAACATTTTTGGATTTCAAGTTCAAGCAACGTAAAACGAATTTTTATCCAGTAAACGAACGTAAAACGAAAATATACTAAATAATTTTTGTTAAAGGGTAGGTTAAGTACATTTCTTTCTAAATTTTTTTTTTTTCTGTATAAAAAATGTTATTGTATGCCCAAAGCACTCGAGTTCTACTCGACCAATGAATGGTGATTGGAAAAATAAAATGAACCAGAGAATAGAGATTTGGGATTGAAACAGGTAGAAAAGGCGACTGGCGCCGGCGCTACCTGTGAGGCCGCGCGAGTCAGAAACTCGTGCGTTGAGTAACATAAAACACATTTTAGTAAACAACTCTCTTTATTAATATAATAATAATCATTAGAATATTTAATCTTCATAAATGTAGGTATGCTTCATAAACCCCACGTATAAAAATACATTCCTATATATATATTTATGCACAAAAATAGGCCATCACCGTTCGGTAACAGCGTAATGCACTATGGCGGTGTGAATTTAAGGCACGTTGAAACAGGGCTACGCCCCAGGCGGCGCCAAGCGGGCGTCGGCGACTAGATCACAGGAGCAGCGGGGCCTGGCCCCGGCGGCGGACTCTCATCTGAGCGGCGCAGCGAAGGCTGGGGCGCACCAGCGTGGCGCGGAGCAGGTGCTCAGCGCGGCGCTCTGCACTGGCATGAAGGCGGACACGTGTACGCCGTTCGACACGGGCAGCGACGCCACAGCCGGCCTCTTCTCTTCGTCCTCCAGAAGGTAGGGTCGGAAGAGTTTGAACGGCTTCTTCGGTGGCTCCGGTGGAGGTGGATGGTACGTGGCGATTGGTGCCGCTGGCGATGAGAGCCGCCTTAGCGAGAGGTCTATGGGCTCTGCGGTGGACGGTGTCAAAAGGATCGGCGTGGCGATGGGTGTAGCCACATGTATTGGCGCCGGAATCGGCACCGGCGTAGGTAGAGCCGCTTGCTGCTGGGGTTGTTGTTGCGGAGGCGGCGACGGTAGTCGTGCGCTTTCGGGGGAGCCCGCGGAGTAAGGCGGCGGCGACGGCGCTGGTTGCGGTGCTCTCCTTAACAAAGCTGCCCTCAACGCTGGCTCGGCTTGGAGCCACTTTTGAATCTGACGACGATGGATGCCGAACTTCCTGGCCGTCGCTCGTTGATTGCCGCGACACTGGGCATCGCGCCTGTACGCTTCGAGAACTTGCAGCTTGAATTGTGGTGGGAAAATTCGGCGGGATCCGGCGCGACCCTCCGGACGGCGGTCGGAGGGTGCGGGGGCCTGGTGCGTGTGGGCGGCGGCCATTTGGCTGTGTAAACGTCTGCGCGTGTTGGCTGTCGGCGCCGAACTGACTGTCGCTCGCTGGCCGCAGCGCGGATGTTGGCGGCGCGAGGCTCGCACCGCCCTGACGTGAGCGCGCGACGCGGGCCGCGTATGTCCATAAGTCCTTGTGTACACCGATGTGTCATTCATATAAGATATGTCATTAAATATTTATCTGTGATTTCTCTGCATGGATTTAATAGTAACGTGATATGTTCCGATAAAATAATGTAAATATACCTTAAATGCTTGAACGCAATATTTAAGGTATTTTATTTCCGATAAAGTTTCGTCAGTTTTCTTATACCATTATATTTAAGCTTATCAACTTAATTTTTTACTTTATTTTAAATGATAAAAGCACACATGAAATGCGAAAAAAAATTATGAAAAATTTTAAAATAAAAATATCAATTAAAAACACACTTCCCTATCGTGTAAACGCTGCCTTAGGCTGTAATCTCGCCTCATTCTCGGCGTGAAAAAATGCCGCAAGTGGGAGCCGATAGCACGTAGCGCCACCATTTCTGTCTTATTTTAGCCGATATAAAACTCCAAGCGGGAGCAAGATAGACTACTTGCCCTGCCTCGGTCGCTGCCACATCCGTTTACGAAACAAGTTTGCGTGCGAGGTTGCCGCTTAGTGAGCGCGGGCGGTTCATGAGGTTGTGGGACGAGCGGGCGGGGAGTGCGGGCGGACAAGAATGCGCACGGCGCGGCAACGCCGCCGAATGTGGCAGACAGGGTGTCGCCGGCTCGCCGCCGTAGACAGGCCGTCGCTCAGCGGCGCTAGCCCCTCTACACCCGCCCGCGGCCGTACCGCCGCAACGCACATCAACAAGTTATTTCGGCCCGGCGGCGTTCGGTGTGCATTGTGCACAGAAGAGCTTAAGTGATGTTAAGTCACGCGGCGGTTACGATCTTTTGGAATGCGCGGGTAGCTTAGCGCCATCGCAGTTTCGAGGAAAGTTGTTTATTTTTTGTGTGAGCGACGGCCGCCTGCGGTGCTTGCCTCGCGTCCGGCGACCGTGAAAACAGCGATCCGAATCCCCTTGCGCGCTTTTTATAAAACAAAATTTATAATATTCACGCGTTATTGTAAGCGCTTGTAATAACCTCTGTTGTTATATTTTTAATAATCACCCACAAGTTACTCATTTATGGTACATACACAGTAAAGTTACTATTTAATTTTTGTCGAAGAATAGTAGGATTTTTTCAAAGCAAGAATTATTAAAATTAAGCAAAACACTTGAACATACTTAATTGTGTGCTTATTGTTAAGAATTATTAGCGGAACATATTTAGCTGTAAAAAGTAAAAAAAATATTTTATATACATTTGATGCTGAATATTATAAAATGTTATAATCTCTACATAGTATAAAACAAAGTCATCCCGCTGTCTGTCTGTTCTTGATACGGTTTTTCATAGATAGAGTGATTCAAGAGGAAGGTTTATATGTATAAACCATGCGATGCCGGGACGAGTCGTAGTTATATATAAATGATGTGATCATTGAGATGGCACCCAAAGCCAGAGGTTATTTCCTCTACTGCGGAAGTGATAGTAGAACTTCGTTGGGACAATTACAAACTATCGAAATCAGAAAATGTGCCCTTGGCAACGACGACAAACATTCGGCTCCCTAAGGAGATATACCTCCTACGTAATGTTTTTGGCTGGGAACAGCCCGAATGTTGAGGCAAATTGGAAACGGCCCAAGGTTTAGTGTTATATAACCGCATTTATAAACATATGATTTATACCATCTGTTCAGAAAGTGATGAAGTAGATGCTGCCTAACATTAATTGTAAAATTTAGCATTACATGCTGTTATTTAAAATTATTGTTTAACCATATGTAATTTTGTTGTGCACTGAGAAGTGCCCTTGGGGAGGCCTATATCCAGCAGTGGACTGCAAAATGCTGATTGGATTGAATAGGAACAATATGTAATATTTCATTATATGAGGGTCAAAACTTTAATAAATACTGACTTTAAAATTGTTTAAATTGTAGTTCATGACTGACTGATTTTCTTCTATAATCTAACCGAGAATGTATAGAGCGTCTTTTGTTTTAAATTGCATACGTCAACGATTTGTTATCAAGTTAATCGATAAACATGTAATTCTAGGTACTTATGTCATGTTTAAGTACTTCATGTCTATAAAAAGTAATAATGAGTCTTGAACCTTTGCTGTAATTTAAAATAACGCAACGAACCTTATGATTCCTCTTTTACTTAAAGCTTCGAGAGTCTGAAGTCTGAAGTATCAAGTCATTTATAAATAATTAAATTAATTGGAAAAAGTAGATTAATATTTCTCTTTCAGTTTATATGCGTATAGAGCTAGAGCTAGATCTAGATAGAGCTAACGTATTCATCAATTTATAAGAATTCACGTAAACAATTTGACACGGTTTAGTAGTTATCTGTGGACTGTATGTTGGCCTAAAACTAAACCGGCATTCGTTCTTCATTCGGGTCCGCATCAAATACTTTTGATTGAAATTAATCCATGCTAATAAGGGGCCCGACCCGGCGCTTGCTCTGGCAGTTTTAAACTTTTCGAATTCATAATGATTGCACGATTTAAAATATCAGTTCGTTTTCTTAATAATCTTTACTAATGCTAGTTTACTAATACTAGCAATTTTAAGTTGTTAATGCCTAACAATTTATTATTATAACGTAAAAACATTGAAGTGTTTGGGTTTTTTGATACAATCGTATAGCGAGGTATATTTTGATGTTAATTTCAAATATTAGATTTAAATAGGGTGACTTTATTCTCTTCAGCTCAAACTTATTTACACATCTGTATTGAGCAGAATATTGCGAATATTTAGGTCATAAATTCGTTAAAATTTCAGTTTTATTTTTATAATATAATATTATATAATTTGGTAATGATAATGAAACTATTAAATGTCGCACTGTCATGATAAATTAAAACAACCAGCCGCCTTACGCTGGACTTAGAACACTACATGGAGGACACATGTACATATACACATATGATATTATATACGTTTGCGATCAGTTCAAGCCACAAGCAAGGTCATATCAAGTAGCCAGTAATTTAACTCAACATGACATCATGGTGTCAGAAGAATATTCCATCTAAACTGGCGTTTTTATATAAGTAGTCGCAATGATGGATGATGCAAGATCACAGAGACAACTAATCATATAAATATTAGTGCTTCTCAGTAATGGCGAGCAAATAGTAATTGTGTTATTGTGGAGAACAGTCATTAGACATGCTAGAAAATAAATAAATGACTTTAAATTTTCGCAAAAGACCTTTGCTTATGAGCAATTGAACGTGCTTAAAACTTCATGGTATTAAATGTTATTCTTCCACCTTCGAATGGAAACAAAAGTTAAAATATCTTTGATGACTTATTGCTGCAAAACATTTAAAATTCTAGAGGATAAGGAAATAATAAATCAATTTTATTAAATCGACGCCTATTTATATGTTCTACTGCTGGGCAAACACCTCCTCTATACAGAGGGTATAAGGGTCCACCACGCGGCCTCACTGCGGATTGGCGAACTAAACATATTTTAGAAATATTATTTTTGTTACTATTTTGAAAAAATGCAGGTTTCCTCAGGATGTTTTTCTTCATCGGTGAGCACGTGATAAGTTAGCACTTAAAATTAACAATTCCTTTGGTGGCACCGGAGATTTAAATCGGATCGGGGACCTCGGGTTGCTCGAGTATATTCAATTGAAAGCGAGCGCCTGGCTAATGAGCTATCACGGAGTCTTGCATGTTGTGAATTTTTATGAAAATTTAATCGATACAGTGATGATCATTGTTTAATAAAAGAAAACCATTGGGGGATTTTAAATTAATTTTTATTTAGATTATATTCGATTGGCACGTCATATTTAAAAGACACTTGTTCAAAAGAGCTGAAGATTATTATAAAGTTACCGTGTCAAACATAAAACTTATCTCTCTCACTCTCATATATTCTCTCTCAAGATAATACCCATCCGCATGGGTACCGAATGGTGAACTAAATTTTTACACCGTTTGGATTTCTATTATCATCTTATAGAAAAGCATATTGGTTAAAAAACGATTTTTATAAGCTTATTGTGTCCAACAGTTTGAATTTACCACTAGTTGATATGTAATCCATGTGTGCGTCGTGTCCGACAGACAAGCAGCCGCCGCTCGTAAAATGAACTAATAAGTTCAACAGACACATCGACGCCGCGGCTCGCTCGCCATACCGATGACTTTAGCTACAACAATGAAACATCCTAAGAATAGACCTGACAAGTATTATGCACTCTACCGCTCTAGATTAGAGGCTATTATTAATCGATCGCTGCAAAATTATAAAACACTTCGGTCCTGTTTACTATTAAGTATCAATAACGTATTGAAATAGTCTACATTCGACTTAATTTCATTGCAGCGCAGAGTTCATAATCAAATGACGCCACAGATTTGGAAAACTAATGGAGGCTAGTGTGAAGCACACGTGTGTTTCGAGCGTTACCTAAATGGGACCAGTTCTAACTCAGTGGTGTATCTTTTAACTTTCGAGTCCATTGAATTTGATGGTAGAGTCCCTTTATGAACTTAATGAGTCTTTAGCCAGAACTTTGCCTGTAAGTTATTTTGGTTTCAGATTCTATATTCGAATATTTAATCATGGCTCTCTTTTTCTCAAAGCAATTAGCCAATATATTAAAAATATTTGAATTATACTTTTTGATTTGTTTTAGTTCCTTATACCCGAGTACATAACGGCGTAGAGTACAGAAATTGTTTTATTTTAGAACAGTGTTAAAAAGGGCGAGTTATATACATCATGAAAAAAGGTAACGTTTAACGTTTTACAAAACAAATTGAATTTGATATTAATGTTCCATTTATACCAAGGTAAATATGAAATAGTGAAAACATAGAGCTACGAATGATGTAAATGTCACAAAAACTTTCTAAAAAAGCATAAATCCACCTACGCTTAGCTCATTAGATCGTTGTTGTATGCCATTAGAATAACTATATAATACAAAGTACTTTCATAGTTAATGTTTTTATTTGAGAGAAACTTTTTTCAGCCAATTCTCACTTCAAATGGAGTAAGCAAAATATCTGTCTTTACTTT